GTTTACTTTGCTTTATCATGCCTACTCAATTCCTCTATTTATATCTACCATTTTTACTTTCTTTACTAGCAATTTCTTTATTAACTAGATGTAATGGCTTCTTTTCAGCTCTCTCTCTATTCCTGTTCTCTCTCATATTTGATTTTTCCCCACATTCCTTTGATATCCACCCATCTCGATTTTCCTCTTTTTCTCTAACAGTTTCTTATGATAGGAACACCAACTAATTATCTTCCAAACCAGAATGCTTTTGAACATGAAAAGAGGTGCTGTTTAATAATTAAACCAGCATAATAGGTATAAACCCAGATTGTTCAAGGAAAAATAGGATATATGGTTACCCCATTTAGATATCTTATCTTCTTTCTGTTCATTTTCTTTTGTTAACCCCTTAATATGAATGTTACCTCAAATTTTCAACCATCATCTTTTGTTCTTTCGCATATTCTCCGTAGGTGATCTGACACACTTGAATGACTCAAATTACTACCTCCATTGGTAATTCCCAAATTATATGTCCTAATTTTTTCCTGAGTTCCAGACCCATATACCTCATCAAGTAGCTCAAGACCAGTAGCCCAAAAGTACCTAATCACAAAATTTAAACTTATCTTTTCCCTCAAATATCCTGATTTTAATTTACATTTATGTATATACACATAGAGATATATAGTGTATATATGCAATTATGTGTATAAGTCTGAAGATAGATATCACACATAGACATTATTTGTGCAGTTGCTTCACTAGATGCTGGACATACAATAGTAGCACAACACAGTTCCATCATGACAGTGTATTTTAATGTGGGAGATAGACATTGATCAAAGTATTACACATATAAATGTTGTGATACTCTCTATAAGTATGGTCATTGCTGTGAAGGAGAGGGATATGATGTCATATGAAGTATAATATGAGTATTTGACCTTTCAATATATGGCCTTTTAAATTAGATAAGTGACAACAAATAGCTCTTCAAAATTAGACTTTATTTCTTGGAAATACTGATCAGAATTCAGTACTCAAATATGCTGGCAATGGAATTGTCTTGCTTCTCAGGATTCCTGTTGCTTTTAATACTACTTATGGCTATATCGCTTATAAAATCACATAAAATTTCAACCGCTGAAATTGTAGCAATACCATTGGAATTAAGGATGTTGGTATAGAAACTAAATAAAGGAGCCTCTATGGAAATAGTGTTAGTTTTGTGAGGAAGAAATGATGCATAATATTAGGAATACCTTTTAGTCACAAAGTCTGGCTGCTTCTCTCTTTACATAGTAAGTGATATTTGTTGATTAAATGTTAATTGCTCATTCTTTTGTCATGTTTCAAGTCTTATGCACAAAATTTGGAAGTTTTCATGTTCCCATTCTTAGAAGACCTGTGCCCATTACTAGTATCCCAGAACATGAGCTAAATTATGCAAAGCCTAAAGTAACAAATTTACAATCAACATATATCAATAATGTTAAAAATAATCCACAGTATTAGTCTTTATATACTTTTAGAATAGTGATACTCAATTACATCAGTCTTTACTATGTTGATAAGTATAATAGTAACCAAGATTTATTAAATATTTACTACTTGAAAGTGCTAGATAATTTACATACATTATCTTACTTAGCCTTTACAGTAATCCAGTGAGGCAGATTCTATTGTTATCATCAATTTTCAGATAAAGGAAGTGGCAATTCAAAAGGTATATCTATCAGGATCCTAGCAGAAGTCAGATATCATGCTTAAATATGTAATTGAGGAGAGCTGAATAAGAACCTATAGGATAAGCTGGGCACGGTGGCTCATACCTGTAATCCCAGCACTTTGGGAGGCCAAGGTGGGCAGATCACAAGATCAGGAGATCAAGACCATCCTGGCTAACATGGTGAAACCCTATCTCTAATAAAAATGCAAAAAATTAACCAGGCTTGGTGGTGTGTACCTGTAGTCCCAGCTACTTGGGGAGGCTGAGACAGGAAAATCACATGAACCTGGAGGCCGAGGTTGCAGTGAGTCGAGATTGTGCCACTGCATTCCAGCCTGGGCAACAGAGTAAGACTCCATCTCAAAAACAAACAAACAAAAAGAACATATAGGATGTACAAAGGTTTGGACAGAATTTAGGGAAAGACATTATGGAATGCCTGGGACTAGTAACAGTGGGAACCATTCATACTCCTACCTAATGGAGCCAAGGGGAAGAGTGTTATTAGAATCTAGAGAAACAGCTGTAAGCAAGGAGGGCAATCTGGCACGAGCTGTGATCTTGAGTTGAGTGACAGCCAACTTATGATGACCTCATAGAGAGGGAGCTAGGAGAATAAATGCCAGACCTTTCTCTATCCAACTCAGTCTTCTGCTAGTGTCTTCCACTGGCTGAACCCAACTGGAAGCCGGGGCAGAAAATAATTTATTGATGCTATCCATACAGGTCAGTTCAGAGCAGAGAGGGTAAAAAGGGTTGGAGACTGATCTGAAAAGGAAATGGAAAATATCTAGGAATTTAAAAACTTGCTCAATATTTCAAACTATTAAAGGGCAGAGCAAGTATATGAATGAATGACAAATCCCTTATTCCTAACAACAATACTATACTGCCTCTCATATTAAAAAGTTTTATGAAATGGTACTTGCCAGGAGAAATACTTTAAATCTGAAAGTTTCTATTTATCTCAAACTGTTGGATGCATTTATACCTAACAGTAAGTGACAGTAAATATGTCAGAGCTGAGCAGCAAAGAATGCTAAAAAAAAAAAGGGGGGGGTCGTGATTCTACATGTCATTGGCATTTTCAGAACATTAAACCATAGTTGTTCCCCTTGTTCAGATTCCAGACTCCATCATTTCTCGTGGTGTTCAGGTGCTCCCACGAGACACAGCCTCCCTCAGCACTACTCCTTCAGAATCGCCTCGTGCTCAGGCTACATCTCGCCTCTCTACAGCTTCCTGCCCAACACCAAAAGTAAGTACAGTTCCTTCGCACCTTACACCTGCTCTTCTATAGAAATCTGGGAAAACTAACCAATATTTCCTTCTGCTTGTCAAGGTTGGATTGCATGCAAGATTATACTATGAGAAACGAATAAAGTATAAGATAGTTCTCACCCATTGTGTCACAAATTGTCATATTAGGACAATACAGATCTCATTCAAAATGTCTTACTCCTACATCACAGCTAAGGATATTACTTTCTGTAGCTCCTGTTTCTTTGTTGTAGATTTGTTATTTTTTAGTATACCCATCATTATAGATGTAAGGTTATTTGTTTACACTGAGGATTAATGTATTTTTGGCCAGTAAACAGCAAGATTAACAAAATTATGTTACCAAAGGGATTTCTTTAAACTTGTCCAGGCTGGGGTAGCTCCCTGCTCTAGTATCATTCCAAATTTTTTCAAACATATTTATCTTGGAATGTTGCTGCCTAATATTTGCAAACAAATCTAAATTTATTAGAAAGAAAGTTTTAATGCCAACCTTTGGGAGGGGGAAGAAGTTTCTTAGTCTTTTCTTTTTTCTTTTTTTTTTTTTTTTAATAATCTGTCACTGAATTGTGTAGGGTAGGGAAAGGATGAGACACGTATATACTGCTCACATCTTTGTATATATGACAAATTAACTAGCAGACATTATTACTGCTGTGACTACTTTCTCCTAGAATGCTCCTTTCCTGATTAAGTTAGTCATTTGTGCTTTTAGGTTCTCAATGTGATGGATGCAATATTGGTCTCAAAAGATTAACAGTAACATTCCTTCTTATTTAATAAAACATGATGTTAGACACTAAATTTGTTCTAGGGAATCTGACAGTTAATTTTTCAAATTATGGTTTTTTCTCTGTCATCAAATTTAAGTACCTATATAGCTGTCTTCCTCAATTCCATCTTTTCTATTAGTTTTATGAATGTTATAATTTTATTTGACTAAAATGGATCTTAGTTTCTGATGTGAATAGTGCAGTTTGTTTTACATTACATGTTGTAATCTTCTCAGCACTGTTTCCAGTGTTTCTGTTGTATATCATTATTTTAGATATATGTCAAAAATAACTGATATTGATTTTATTGTTTAATAAAAGCGAGGCCCTAAATCTTCAATGAAGATAAACCGTAAGAACATTGTAGATGTTAAGTTTATGCTAATGCCATTTGGGTGCCAATAAGCTACATTTTCAAGAAATTCTTTAAACCTGAATTAGATGGAAAAATCTCATCTATATATTTTAAATTATTAAAACAAAATAACAGTTTGACTGCATTAAAATCAGTTGTACCTGCTAAACTCACTTGTAAAGTCTGGAAAATATTTAAAACTAAAAGTTAAGTTCACTGTAAGGTGTTTTGTTCACTGAATATTAAGACCTAAATGTTGGGAATCCAAAACTATTCAAGGCACAATCTCTTTTTTCCTTAATAATATACTGAAACCATAAGTATTTTTTAAAAAATATTTTATGCTAAATTTAATTATACATAGTTATTCCTGAGTCTTTTTAAAACTTTGTAATTATATTTTAGTTACACAGAGGATATAATATACAATTTTAAAAATCACTTGGTACTTCCAAATTCACGAAAGTAAAATTCTAAAAAATAATAATGTAATAATGTTAATATTCATTAAATTAATTCACTTATTGGAGAACTTTAAAAGAGCAAGCAGCTTGTCTTGATATTTTTTCCTTAGTTAACACTTAGATGTTCAAATTGACAATTAATTCAAAAAAGCATTATATCTTTGTCTAGGAATAAGATTATATTTCTTTTGGATAATTTTTATCAACACTAGAATGTATACCTCTCAAAGATAAAATTATTACTTTGGTGTAATTTTTAATATAAACTTTAAATGCTGAATTAGAATATTAATATGATAAAAGAAACTAATTTGAATATTGATATTTTAAAAGGAGTTGATCTATTCCAATTAGGAATCTGGAAATAAAATTTTAAAAATAAAGGAGGAAAGAAAGTGAAGTTAATCTTTCTAATAAGAAAGGTCTCATAAATTGTAAGACTGCTTAAGAGAATAAACTAGGTGCTCTTGTAAGTGCTAATATCAGTGACAGATGTACTGTCTTTCTTCATGGAGTTTAGTTGTATATTCCAGGCTGAATATCCCTAATCCAAATGCTTGGGACCAGAAGTGTTTCAAATTTCAGATTTTTTTCAGATTTTGGAATATTTGCAGATACTTAAGCTGGTTGAACATCCCTAATCTAAAATCCAGAATACTCCAATGAGCAGTTTTTTTGTGCTCAAAAAGTTTCAGATTTCAGATTTTCAGATAGGGATGCTCAACGTGTAAAATAAACAAATAGACAATAACTTGAATAATTATAATTTCACATTAACTTAATAATTATAATTGAAATGCAATACCTGCTAAGAAATTAAAATGTTATGTTGGCAGAAAATAATAGCAGGGAACTTCATTTAGCTAGGGTTAGTAGAGAAAGCCTACCATTTCACCAGAGGCATGAAGAATTAATGAAAACCAAATATGATCTTTTGTGCTGTGTGGAGGTTTTAGGAATTATATTGATCAGTAATGACCACTTTGAAGGCAGGTGTCACACCAATCAAGAACTCTTACACTAAAACTTTTCATTAGTACGTGAATACTCTAATTCAGTGACTTCAGCAGCCAATTTCAAATATCTGTTCTTTTTTATTTAAAATAATGAATTTTTTGCCTTTCCCCACTGAGTTGAATATCAAGGCCATAGATTTTAGCACTTAGCTCTGTTCTAGGTGAATTATTTACTGTAATTTTTAGCATAAAAATTTGGGACAGAGAAGTCCAAAAGCAATTTTGGGGTTTCTAATTTGAGATATTGGGCAGATGATAATGTTATTAACTATATTAAGGAATAAAAGAGAAATGGCAAGTCTTGAGGATAAAAGAAAAGAGGGTAATGCATCTTGATTGAGAATGTGTTTAATTTGAGGCGTATGTGAGACAACCAAAGAGTGATATCCAACACAAAATTGGAAATACAATTTGAGTTTGAAATTCTTGTTTTTACTTCATCTTGGTTATGATATTTATAAGTTAGTACATATTAGTGTTAGCCAAATCCCATAGAAATCCCCTTTCTACATTTCTGTTTTTTTTTTTTTTGAGACGGAGATTCACTCTTGTTATGCAATGGCGCAATCTCGGCTCACCGCAACCTCCACCTCCTGGGTTCAAGCAATTCTCCTGCCTCAGCCTCCCGAGTACCTGGGACTACAGGCACATGCCACCATGCCCAGCTAATTTTTGTATTTTTAGTAGAGACGGGATTTCATCATATTGACCAGGATGGTCTCGACCTCTTGACCTCGTGATCCACCCACCTTGGCCTCCCAAAGTGCTGGGACTATAGACGTGAGCCACCGCATCCAGCCTCTACATTTCAAATTAGGCATGCACAGCTTGTCACGCACAGAAATGTATGTGTAAACATTTTTTCTACATCAGAAATACAATAGTTTTGAATGATCGGTACTAGAAAGAGCACTTGACTTGATAATAGAAGACCTAGATGGAAATTCTTTTTTCTCTGCCTCATAACCACACTAAATTAAGCAAGTTACTTAATTTTACTGAGTTTTGTATCTATTATTTGACTGGCCATCCTTGTCTCTACAACAGAGTTTATTAACTCATTAAATAAATCTTTGCCTTGTAGAAAAGCAACAGTGAGCAAGTAGACATTGTTCCAGCTTTTACAAATAGGTAAATCAGACAATAGGTAAAAATTAAAATAAAGTATAATAAGTGCTAGAATTGATTAGCAAGAATACATAATATTATGGATATAGCTATCAGAAGCACTTAACCAAGTCTTTGTGAAAACACAAAGGCTTAAATAACCAAGTTATGATTCAGAACTAACAGTTCCAGTCTTTCTCTCTGTGGCTTTTTATCATTGGGCCATATGTAAGCTGAAACACTTCCTGTCCATCTGCCTGTGTTAATCCATTTATTTAGGTCAACAACCATAATAGTATAATATTATAATAAATATTGCATTATATCTATATTGTAATATCCTGGATTATGCATTGACCCTTTAAGATTCTTTAGCAATAATGAGAACAAAATCTGTAAAACTATTCCAGGTCTTGGTTGTTTTTATTTTTGTACCTCATCACAACCTAATAAAGATAGCCATGTATTATCCTTTGTAAATAATTCTTCATATCTTACATTTTATCCAGCAAATTTATTTGCTAAAATATTTTATTATATATAGGGAAAAGTCATTTCTCTCTTATATATTTTCTTTTAATGAAATCTGACTGAAATGAGGAATGATTTTCACTCCTTTTGCTTTATGACAGTGAAGTATCTTTCAAGAACAAAGTTGGAATATTTGACTTTCATTGTCCTAAGTAAAATAGTACCTAAGTCAAATAGTACGTAAATTCTATTTAAAGAAGTGTAGACAATATCTAAACACAAGTTCTAAAATAATGGTAGTCTTCTAAAAACAATTTGCTGAAAGAGTAATTCGTAATTGATAAATTATCTTTTAAAGTGAGCATGATTTACAACTTAGATGAGTGCTGATTTTCAATTATGAAGGGCAGCAGCATCTCTATTTAGAAGTGAAATCAAGGCCAGGTGCAGTGGCTCATGCCTATAACCCTAGCACTTTGGGAGGCTAAGGCCAGTGGATTGCTTGAGGACAGGAGTTCAAGACCAGCCTGGCCATCATGGCAAAACCCCATCTCTACTAAAATACAAAAACTTAGCCAGGCTTGGTGGTGCATGCATATAATCCCAGCGTCTTGGGAGGCTGAGGTGCGAGAATTGCTTGAACCTGGGAGGCGGAGGTTGCAGTGAGCTGAGACCATGAAGAAAGGGAGGGAGGGAGGGAGAGAGGAAGGGAGGGAATCAAGAAGCTTAAGGTAGAAAATAGTGATCAAAGCACAGGAAAGGAAGGAAGGAGGGAAGGAGGAGGGAGGGAG